TGGCAATTAGACCTTAAGAGATGTTTGTTTTATCAACAAAATTAGCGAAAATTGTAAATGTTGTGTCATATAAATTTAAATAATCACAATTATACTGATTGTTCTTCGCCAGTTCTGAAGGGATTAATGCTCCCAAGTCCCAAAAACTTCATACAATTCAAATATTTGACAAGCATTAAAGCTGACAGTGTACACATATTAACAGGCTCTACAGTACACTGAACTGCCAGCAGCATCTTGTGACTGAAATATGTCTGTCTGCTACCCCGCTGGCCACAATTACAGAGGCGCTACCTGTTGTTCCAGCCGCTCTGCTGTCATTACATTTCGCCGTGAACAATGCCTGGAGCTGCTGGGACAGACTGTCGGAGGACTCGTACCAGCATATCAAGTCACACACACACACACACACACACACACACACACACACACACTGTTAACACACAGTTAAAATGATGACAGCTCCTCCTGGGCTGGGCTGTACAGATGATAGGCTGGAGATTCTGCTGCTGGCTGCAACATTCAGCATCATTAAACACCAGCAAATGAAAAGGAAGATGTGTGTTGGTTTCTCCGTGTATGTGTGTCTATAAAATAAATAACAAAACAGTATGAGTGAGCAATAATAAAGAGAGATTGTGCCGATCTAAGCAAGGGAATACTGTGTATTTGTGTGTGAGAGTGAGAGTACCTCCCTGTCTCCCACAGCAGCTGCAGTCATAACCCACAGCAGCAAAGAAAGATCAGTGTGTGTGTGTGTGTGTGTGTGTGTGTGTGTGTGTGTGTGTGTGTGTGTGTGTGTGTGTGTGTGTGTGTGTGACTTTATATTTACATATATTTTCAGCCAGTCGCCTCTTGTTTAATGCCTATACCTCACTCTGTGTGTGTTTACATTTGCCTTTTTCTCATGCAGAGAGAAAAGTGTGTGTGTGGCTGCAGTGCCATCCAGATCAAATCTCTCGTGCTTGAAGCTACCTGCTGTGGGACAAATCAATTCAATTGCCGGCATTATTGTGTCCCCATCCTTATAGAGAGGATGAGGAAGAGGGAGATGGATAGCTGACTCATCAGCCGCCAGTGAAACAACAGCGAAACTCATCACCGAGATGAGAGCAGAGGACACACACACACACACACCTGCAGCATTTAGGACAAAAGAGGGTCTATGAGAGATTAGTTCTTGGTGCACTGAGCACTTCTTAACAGCAGAGGGCGCCCCATTTACACAGAACAGGCAGCTGCACGGGAAAAAAACCTTACTAAAACCTTACTGACATGCTCAACAGCACTTCAGCAGTGATTTGAGCAGAGGACACATGTGACTATGGCTAATCTATAGCTTTAGGTTACTGATGACTTACGCCAACTCCCCCATCCTGGTCACTGGATGCCATGTTATTCCATAAATAATATAGGTTCAAGTCTGTTAATACAATAGTCAGGTGCCCATATAAACACTGAAAAAAGGTTTAGCTTGCTGTAATCATTGCTCCTGTTTCTACTGGTTGTGAAGAGATCCCTTCCTAATGCACTTCTAATGTAAGAGATGGGGGCCAAACCCACAGTCTTTACTCCCTATAAAAATATATTCCAATGTATTTCAGTGTGTCTGTGTTTATACAGACACCTGACTATTGCCTTAAGACAGACCTGAAAAATTGTGAATCTCATTTAAGATGAAATACACAATCAGTGAATGATCAGTGAATCCTAAAGTTATTTTAAAAATGGAAACCCTTGTCAGATGTTTTCAAATTCTACAAAAGCTGAAGTTAGGGCCTTTATATTGTTTATCACCCAGTTGTTTGAATCTATCCCAGACCAATCTAAAACTTCTGATCATATTTCAAACAACTGCTGCTGCTGTAGGCTGCTCTCTATTACACTGGTACCACCCCTATATACACCCTTAGGCTCTGTTCACACTGCAAGCCTTAGCACTCAATTCTGATTTATTGCTCAGATCTGACTGTGTCGTTTGGCTGTTCATTTTATTTTTTTTAAAACGGCCCATATCAGATTCTAATGTGAACAGGTCACAGTCCAGAAGTGACAAGCCTGACGAACGCAGATCTAGTCAAGTCACACTGAGGGACATTGCAAAACATCAGACCTCTATCTGATTTGGACCACACGTGAAAGTGGCCCAAACCAGACCTGAAAAGGTCAGACTGCATTTCTGCTGCTCACACTGAAAAACACAGATCTGAGTCACGTATGAACAAAAATATTTCATTTGGGTCACTTGTGCCTCCAGTGTGAACAGTCTTACTGTTTATGGTGATGTTTTATGTTTCTAAACACTGCCTTATGTAAGACTGTTTTTTAGCTAAGAACACAGGGTAATACTCTTTTCTGTTTTTCAGCGTGAAACCATTAATTGCCTGTTCCCAGCCGCTGGTAAATGCTATTGAGGGAGAAGCTGTGTGAGACTTTGCCTTCAACTTTCAGTCTCAGCAGACAGAGGCAGAGAAGGAAATCCCCTGGGAAGAAGGATAGATAGAGCTATGAATGAACAACTGTGCAGCTAAACACCTGTCTCTGAGGATGACCAAATGCTCTGTGATGTGTGAGACTGTGTGTATAAATATGAATGCTTAACTTCTTTCTGGTCATTCTCTCAGCTGGCAGGTGGAGAATCAATTTGCAAATTTCTGTTTGAATATTGCAGTACAAATCTGAAAGGGCTGCTCTGTCACTCTGTTACAGAAATGTTCACAACACATGTCCCTGTATCAAGTGCATTAACACAACTTTTTAAAAAACATGTAAAAACTAATAATAAAGCCAAGATGCATACGGTTTAACTCAATCAATGTAATCTTGAAAGCAGGGAAAAGAGAAGAGGTTTGACAGAGACACAGAGACAAAAGAGAAGGAGAGAGAGATAAAAACCAGTGTGGTGATGTAGACATCCTTTGGCAAGTCCCAACACAAGACTTGTGGACAAACAAAGCTTCACCACAAACACACACCATCTGCAACTGATGCTGTGTGTGTGTCAGAGTGAGAGTGTGTGTGTGATGTTAAGTAAAATGCCTTCTCTCATCTTACACATGCATGTGAATGGTATCTCCTACCTTACAGCCTGTTGTCCTGTTATGTGTCCTATACAACCTTATCTAATCTCATTATCATCTGACACACACACACACACACACACACACACACACACACACACACACACACACACACACACACACACACACACACACACACACAATTACTGTTATCACCACCAACTCTACAAAGGTGGGGGGATGTTCACATGGATCCCTCCTTGCATTTAAATGTGGGATCATTCAGATGTCGTTCACAGATTCACAGCAAAGGATTGTTGTTGTGACGATTGTTCAGCGCAGCAGCATTTCTTCTCTTTCCCTTTCTATCCCACTGTGCAACATGATCAATGCCCCTAAAGCAAAAAGCAGTAAGGCAGTAAGTCTATTTTAGACCAGCAAAGGGCCTTTACTATTACATTCCCAACACTAAGGTAATGTTCAAATGATGTTCCCCCTTTGGGCAGTGATGCTTCAGATGGTTCAGGACGATATATGGAGCGTACACTGTTTCTATTCCTTTTACTGGGGCTGATATAATGTACTATCCAATACTAAAAGTTACCGCTATAGCTGTGGTGTAAGATTACAAGACTTTTTCTGTACTGGAGTCATCACCGAAGACATTAATGAGGCGACTCCTTTCCGTGTTCTTTGTGTTTTGAGTTCAGAAACAGTCTGCAAATTAAATTCTCTCTCCTTTCCTGCACTTCAGTATTCCTGTAAAGCTGTTTATCAAAGACATTTCCAGACTTCCCAGAATGTAATAAACCCACCACCACATACCCTATCTGAAATATCTGTCTCCAATAGCCCCAATGATCTCTGTCAGTAACACCACTGATTCATACTGGACTCATCTGGAGTTTCAGTCCCATTAGACTGCAATAAAACATGATGTTCACTGACATTAAAACGCACGTGAAAGGCTCAGTGAAACACCATTCCTGACCTTTTTAGTACCGCAGTGCACTCTGTTCCAAGGCACACCTCATTATTGACTGCTTTGTAAATATCACTGCCTAGTGTGGTGTATCATATATGAGGAGACGTAAAGAAATGGATAAAGAGGAAAACCATATCAGAACCCTAAAAACTATAATTTTAGGCTGATTTTATTACATAGTAATGAAGACAGTGGAATGTTTCTCTGTTCTAAATGGACATTCCTTGAATTTGACAGCCAGAAAAAGCTCATTAATACATTTTCTTTCCAATTGAGGCCAATTTCCATATTTGTTATAGCCACATAAAGTGGCATGGTGAGTCTCTAGTGCTAAGGTACTGAAGTGAGATAGTGTGTGAGTGCTTGTTATGTAGCAATGTATTTTATGAATTTGAACATAATAGGAAAGTTTTTGGACTTCACTTCTCAAGCTAGTTGGAAAAAGTTTCATAATTTTTTTGTCTTTTCTATCTTGTTTTTTTGGGTTTGTACAGAACCGTAAAGGGTTCATGTAGCAAAGGAGATTTTGTAAAATGGTTCTTGGAGCCACTAAAATATTGGCTCTACCCCCCAGGGCTGTTTATTTCTTTAATCAATAATTTGACTGCCTTTTGCATTGGTATTCATTCCTAGTAAAGCTGCAACACACACAAATTCTATCCTTTTAATATCAAAACTTTGTGGAAAACCTATATTTTCATTATAGATATTTATAGAGCTTTAGATTGATAAATAGCATGTTATTAATTCAGGACAATTATATTTTACAAGTATTCACGTAGTGTATCCTCAGCTCTTAAGCCTAAGATCCCTCTTGATTTCATATAGACTTCCTATTAAATGAGGCTTCCTTTATCCAAAGAATAGAATATTTTGAGTCTCTAAATATCCATAATGAAGCATTAACGCCAATTGTCCTAAACTAGAAATGATGTATACTGTATACTATCTGTTGGAACAGTTATTGCTTGTTGACCCTTTGGTATGAGACTTACTGCGACACTTGGCACAGCGTCCTTTGTCGTACTCCAGCAGGTCCAGGGTCCGGCTTCGGTCGCTGACCGATCGCCTCTGCCCGCTCTCCCTCAGCCGAGCGGCCTCCTCTTTGGCATACACCCCGAGCTCCTGGGTGTAGCGCCCATACATCTGGAAAACGACACAGTGAGGGCATTAGCTTAAGCGTTCAATGTACGCACACATTCCTCACACCCTACCAACCAGCAGAGAGAGAGAGAACGCTTATTTTTCATTTGACATTTAAAACAACCACATTGCTGGTTCTGCATCTTCCCCACTGATTAAATATGTGAATGCAGTGAGCTGGAGAAAGAAACGGGGGGGATGATGAGGTAGAGGGGGGGAGACAGTAGTAAAGACAGATACAGTGCTATCACTGCTGACTTCTAATGACCTGGAAGACCTCTGGACCATAAGGGCCAGCAGGTCAGTGTGGAAGGACAGTGAATAGCACAAAGAGCAGAACCTCCTCCGTCTCTTATTCTGTAAAAGAACCCCCTGAAAAAGATAAAAATGTATCTTTTTTTCACTTTAAGGAAACACACCCAGCCGCACAGTCTCTGCAATGAACCCAATAACTTCTCACTGGCTCCGAACCGGTGACACCAGCATAACAACTCACACGCACAAACGTACCCATCCCGAAACAACATACATGCTCTTGAACGCAGACAAATACACACATACAAAAGAAGTCAAGTCAGCAGCACAAGAGACAGGAAGCGCCAAGTTTCATACACCGCCCAGACACCAGTTCCCCCTCCCATAATGCTCCTGGGTGGTGCACAGGAACAGGGGCACTAATGACTTCCCCTTGGCCACCCGTCACAACACAGCAGGGCGTTTGCAACCCGCATCAACAGGTCAGTCAAGGTCATCAAGGCTGATTTCAGCAGCATGTGAGTTGCTGATGAGCAGAATTTGGGTATTAGCAACAACAACAATCAAAATTCACCGTTTCCATAGACCCACGTCTTTTAGCACAGACTGTTCTGCACTCCTCCTCAGACGACAGAAATTACACAAGGCCAGATGGTGGCCCTATAGGAAGCAACATTAGTGTAGCTTCTTTACCAACAGGAACGTCTACAGACACATTTCTTTTCCTGGGATTACAAGAAATAAATATACAGGTATAAAGAATCGGATTTGTGCCAGAACATTTGTGTTCCTGCAAAACATACTTTTTGATCATTCCTGCAAAACTGATCCAATTGTGACAAAGTTTTGCACATATTCTTAGCATATTTGAAATTCACAGATTACAGGCATTACTCTTCAAAGTCCAAACCCTGTGGCGCACAGCTCAAGTCCACAGTGAACAGGGGATGGATTACACAGTATTGTAGCCTCATTCCTAAATGCACAGTGCTAGATCATCTAGCTTCATAAGAGTCTCTCTGCTGGTGAGAGGGCCCAAAAGAGTGTGTCAGACCACATGTGGTCATTATGAACAGAACCAACACAGGAATAAATCTGCACTTTTTCAAATGGAATACAGTTTCTCTGGGAAATGTTCAGCTTAATGCAAGGCTTAGCTACAGTGTATTTGCATTTTAAAATTATATAATGCACAAGCTCCAAATTCTGTTTTGCTTTGTGTTGTTGGTGTTGACGTGCTGGAGCCTTTTGCCAACATCACGTGCAGTGCAGCACCATCCGTGCTGGAGCGTAGAGCTCACCACACAGCTTACAGCCTCAAAAGTTATGCAGACTGAGAAGGTGACGTAAATTATAGCTTTGCAGAGAACTGAAATTCTGACCTGGTGATGGCGCTTGAGGAGACTTCCAATCTTTAACTTTATAGAATCATAAAACGTGTTGTGCTTTGGTTTTTTCAGTAAGGCCAAATGCATTTTTTCAAAAACAGAAGGTCTGTTAAACACAACTGATGTTTACGCAAGTTTGAAGAGAATGCTCTTACTTGGTTGTGACTGAAACTATAAGTGTTTTTGACAAACAGAAATTGAGAATAAATAAGGATGAAGTTGCCTAAATATGACTACAACTCATATGGATGATCTCAGAGCTAAGATAAAGACTAAATCTAAAAATAGCTGCCTTTCTTTCTGCCTTTGGAAACTGTCAGATAGACAACAGTTGCCAAATAACAATATTCACAATGAGTTATAAACATAACATAATGGTATGACCTTGAAAAAAAATGCATACTCTTCCCACGTCACAATAATAGTACTTCACTTTTCACTTTGAGACTGATGTGGTTGTGTTTACACAGCAGAGCAAAAGGTACATTGCCGTTTCAAAAATCAACTGTCCAGATTCACTCATTTTCCATGCACGTCAGGATAAAAACAGACACTGGAAGCGTGCCTACATTTCTTGGAACGTGGCCCCTACGGCCTGATGGAAGAAAGTGTTTAGATATTACACACACGGGCATTCACATACCCACGCACCCACACACACACAATGCTGAACTGTGAATGATGACAGAGATGAACTTGGCACCTTGTAAACACCGTCTGCCATGCACTGCCGGCTATTTTTAGCCACACACAGACACACACACACACACACACACACACACACACACACACACACACACACACACACACACACACACACACACTTATAAGTTTGTGTGAACCATAAAGCTGGTTCACTAGTTGCTGTTTTTTTGGGGTCAATGATCACATCAGGTTGACTAGATTTTAAATTGTAGGACTGTCAGGTAAAACAGAGGATCAAGGACATTTACCTTAATACAGAATGCGTGTTTGACAGGGCCTCATCACAGCCATGCTGTGAAAAGGTTGACTGCTGTTTCCAAGCCCTGCAGCCCTGTGTTGTGCAAGTCCCGTCCATATCAAACATGCTTGGTATTTGTAAAGCTTTGCCAATTGAGCCACCAGGGTCAATAGAATTCCAGCAGTGTCCGTCACTGGTATCAGCACTACTGCTGGCTTTATTAAATAGACATGACTGATCTACAATCACAGTTTCTCAATGTCATTACAAAATGGTTCAGAACAATGCACTTGCAAAACCTGAAAACAATAATGCTGTATAAATGTCACTACTCGAGGCCTCAGTGTGCTAGCTGCAAGCTAACAGCGTCATAAATCCCCTGATGGCTAATTCAGGGGTATGGATCCAACAATTTCCGGAACTTTCTGAAACAACTTTACACAGCAATTGGCCAGGTTTGTGGAAGTGTAAGTAGGCAGGGTTTAGACTTCTCCCTCAAACTACTGTCACTTTGTGTGTATAATTGAGTGCACCACCATGAATGCCTCCAAGAATAGACCGTCTCAAATTGTGCACCATTTTCCCAATTTCCACAAATTCATATTCCATCCTCCAACCCTTCCCCTCTATGACAGCAGGCTATTCACCTCGCCCTTCAGTGTACCCATCCGTAATAAATATAAACATTTTTGCACACAACACCTCTTAAACCCTTGTTCGTTTGAAGCTTACCACGGCTTTTACACTCAACAGGTGTAGTTAGTCTTGTATTACCTTACAAGAGAACTTGAACAACACAGTTGGGCAGGCAGATTTTAAATGAAAAAGGAGAAGAAAATTGGAAATAAAAAATTGGAACAGTGTGTGTTCATGCCAAGGGCCAGCTAAGAGACTGTGTGGCCTTAAGAATGCTTTCGAGGCCAAACGCTGAGCTTGAAATGCCTGGCTTATACCTCTCTGCATAATTCGAGCACTTGAGTTCTTTCCTTGGGAGGGTGTGTGCTTTTGCTGATTTCTGCATATGAGAAGAGCACTGTTTCTCCACGTGTGTATTCGTGCAAAAACCACCTGCCTGTTGTAAGATGACCATTTGGCGCCGATGAAAAGACACCCACTCACTACAGTGGATACAGACTGATCCTTCAGTGGGGAGCACCTGAAAATGCCTGACTCAAGCTTATCAAAGGATCTGAGACTGAAATAGGCGGCTTAACTGAACTGGGAAACAGATGATGGACTTTTCGGGGGGGGGCAAGACAGCAAAGCAAGGAGGTGTGTCAGTCAGGGAGTTATGAGTTGGTACAAAGCTCTGAGTCAGCAGTGGCCATTGCTCAGCAGTACTGGATATTATTTAGATATTATCAATTGCAATTGTGCTAATTATTTTCATTGAATCCTGTTTCCTATTTGTATAATTAAATAACAACAAGAACATAAATATACATATCCTCTCCTGCTATGCACAATTTGCCGTACACCGTTTTGTACTCGGGTTAAACACGTAATTTTAATGCAGTGAAATTGAATTCATCATTAATGACTTTTGTCAGGTTTAGCCATACTTTTGAGCACTAGCTCAACACTATGCACATGTGTTGACGCTTTCGTGTGGTCAGACCAAATTTTAAGGAATAGATGAGCAGGATCAAAAATCTTTAATTTAAATGTTTCTTGATGAATCCGTGGTCTCAAAAATGTGGAGCTGGTTCCACTTCAAAACCATATCTTAATACCAGACCATATTCGGTAGAAAGGATTAATTGACTGACAAGCCTCAAAATACCTCTCCGGATCCATGTAAAAGTCCAAAATGGGAACAGTGAAGGAATGAACACAAACAGAGGAAAAATCAAGAAGGGAAACATTTGGGGAGCGATTTGGGGTTTCTGACATCAAATGTCAACCGCTGTTCTACCCAAGATGCCATTCTGCATGGCATTCTCAGCCACATTCATGATCGCCAACCCTAAGTTTTAATTAAGTAAGGAGACTTCAAACGCAACGGAAACTCAAAAGACCCGAAAACAAGAGGGCAGAAATAGACCTTCTCAGATGCACCCCCTTGAAACTCACTTCTGACTAGAGGAAGAAAACAAACAGACCCATCCAGAACAAAGGCATTACTGGTTGAAAGCCTATCATTATGTTGAGCATAGTCAGAAACGGCGCTCGGCTGAGCCTGCCTGCCTGGGTTAATTGATCCCAGATGAACGGGTTGTCCTGGACTCATTGTCCTGGCTGCTGGGGCAAGGGAGAGGGCAAGGGTGACAAATGATTCCAGCATCGATATGGAGGGTATTATTCACTGAAGACACTATGAAGCAAGATACCAAAACATTTTTACTTGTTTGCAAAGCCGTGAAATGTTTCCTACCAAGAATTCCACTTCAAACATTTAACATGGAAGAAACAACACA